GTTCCAAGTCGATCTCACAAGAATAAAGGACCTCTTAGGTTGGCCTCATATATATATGCAAATTATTTACCAAAATATAAAGTAGGTTAGTATGAGATTTTAAAAAATCGTCTCTAAAAATGTTTGAACTCTGACATATATATATAAAGGAATGTATATTGTTGGAGTTTAAGTGTGAAGTGAATTCTATATCAATTAGAGTTAGACATATTGAGTAGTATATAAGTAAGAAAGATCTACCTACCTAATGTCTTAAGATTTTAGATTATGTTTTGATGTTAAGCTCACTTATGTAGTTTACTCATGACTAGTGACCAATTTAGACGAGTATTAACCAATAGAATTGGCAACGAATGGGTCCAAGAGTGAGATCTTGAATAATAAAATTGGAAGAAGATCTAAGAGGGGGATCACGCAACCCTTGTACCAAAAGTCTCCCAAGTCTCCTTAGAGGTGTACAACGACAATGTAAGTAAGGCCACCATTGAATACTTGTGGATGAAAAAAAGACTTACGCTTCAGTAGGAGCATAACCATGTGGAAGAGAGTCACATTTGAGAGTGTATTAAAGTTCAAGTGTGAAATGATTCCTATATCAGTTAAAGTTAAGTATGTTGAGTAATATATATATATATATATATATATATATAAGTGAAAAAAAACTCACATACATAATTCCTTAAAGTTTTAGATTATATTGTGGTGTCAAATTTACTTATGCGATTTACTCATTACTCATTGTACAAAATACTATTTGATGTAAAACTCCCCAACCTAACATATATAAGACTTAGATTTAAGGTTAAGATGATATGTTACTCTTTTTTTTTTTTAATATTTTAAACTAAACAACCACTAAAATTTTCTAAAGTGTCTTTCTTACCGGAATAAAATTATCTTTTAGTTTGTTGTTAATGTAAATTTTTTTTACATTTATCGTAAATAAAAGTTAATCTCTTACACCTTGTTATTGAATTTGAATAAACATTTCGTTCTCGCTTGCCAAACTTCTGCATGTTTTTCCTCTTAGCTGAATGTTGGAGTACATAGTTAGATCATGTGCATAATAGTTATTCAACTTATTTTCCTTTCCTTTATTTTATTTTATTTTAAATGAAGTATTTTAATTAAGATACGGTGTACATCTTATTGTAACGAGAGAAAAAATGCGGTGTTCATTGAACACCACAATGCTCCTAATTTCAATTGGAAGCCGTTTTAATTTCAATACAAGCATGCCAAATGACTAACATGATGCGTATGATAAAACAAATAATCCAAAAGTCAATTTGTAAATTTTCAACCATTCCAGTTCAAAGCAATCATTTGATAAATTTCTTTGTCGTTTAATCCAATAAATATGTTGACTTTTAAATACGTAAGCACCGCAGATTATTTTTTTACTAGTTATTTAATATATTAAATTGCACCAAAAGAAGTCAATATATAAAATATTTCTACGTGATTTATAATCTTCCTAATGAAGTATGTTAGCAACATACTTTTTTTTATTATTAGTTGACATTTATTAAAAAATACATTTTTATAAATTTTAAATTTTATTTAATAAATCTTGCTCATACTCGTGTAATTTTAATAAAATTTAACTAATAATAGAATATTACAAAAATATAAATCAGTGAATTGAATAGAGTATGTAAATTATTATAATTTTTTTAATATGGAGTTTGATTCTCATATATTTAAAAAAAATATATTAAAGAATATACTATTGTCACTCTACCCTCCCTAATATGGGGCTCCAAATTGTTAACGTTTGCGTGTTGTTTACTCTGCTTTCTGGTTATGAAGTTTGGTATCCTAAAATGTCCACGTCACTACCTTATCGGTCTCATGTTACTCATAAACTTGTGATTATCAGGTTAGTGCTGTCGTTTGATGCCGGACCAAGTCCATATAATATGAAAATGAATTGGGTGAAAGAAAAAAAAGAAAACTGTTTTTATCGCACATGGTCCAGTAACCACTAGCACTGACCAAACTTAATCTTTAGCTCTAGCCAATTCCGTATAATAAAATTGTGGACATTTACTTGCCTAAATTTTTATTATCCATAATTGAGATGCTTTGTACGTAATTGGTGCACAAAAAAGCGTTACAACATGGGATGGGACAAAAAACAAAACCAAATGATCACGATCGTGTAACATGTCAATGTATATTGAAAGCATATACTTGTCCTTTCGCATTAGCTCCGTAGAAAAGGAATTAGCATAATTGCACATCAAATATTGCAAATCGTCTTCATTGTCTTTTTGAGAAAGTAACAGAGGAAAGAAAGTTAAACTTAATTTGATTCCCGTATTCCAAGATTATATACGTAGATCACTAGATCTCCAACCAAAATTAAAACCCCAAACTGTCTTCCTTATTATGCCATCTAATAATGAAAGCAACAAAGCTAAGAATTTGTTAGAAAAATATTGTTTTCTGCATATAAGTGTTGCAGCTGATTCAGATTAACCATTATCAGTTTGCAACTTGACCTGCAGCTTACACTCTTCGGTATCATCATTGTGAAACCACTATCGCCACAAAGTTTCCATCCCTCGTGCATGATAAATGGTTTTCTGATGCATCTTATTCTATATATATATATATAACCGTGGGAATTTCTTGATAGGGAGAAAAAGTGAACGAAGACACAGCTACTCCATTGAAAGTTACTGAGTTGGCTAGAGCATCAACACTCCATGTTGTGCCAGAGAAGACTGTAGAAATTACTGAAGGAAAAGGAGCGGGAATCGCTGGAACATCCATCTATATTTATTTAATGATTTTTATGATTTTATTACACAAGAAACATAAGGAGTGAGAACGATTTTCAAATAAATATTCATAATCACATAACATGTGTAGCAATAATTAATAATAAAAAATATATGTATATATATATATATATATTAATAATGAAACTGCAAATCATGTCCATCTTATTCTATATATTAATAATAAATAAACCCAGATCACACATATAAGGCACATTAATCATAGAAGGAGGATAAGACAACCAAGTCATCAGAGGTCACTTTACATGCCGGCGTCCGGCAGTTACAACCCGATTTTGTTCTTTGAATACTCTGTTGGTTGCTGACCTACCCATGAGGTAGATTTGAATTTCAAGTTCTAAACATTTTATACTCCAAAAACAATGTTTCTCTCTCAAATGACTCAGAGAGACTACTTGGACTTGCCAACTAGGTGACAAAAAATTTTCCCCTTGAGCATTGAAACATAGATTTTCATATTGTACTTCATTTAATGTCATTTTCGTATCCTCGTCCGGAATGTGAGCCTTGAACAAATAGAAAATTCTTACATCAATTAGTCAAACTCTCTGCACTCTACCCCATGAGTGATCAAGCTGTCTAAATTGTCAGTGAGTCCACTTTGGCAATGATCCCCATCTTATTTTGGCTACAAGATTCTGCAGATGAGATATTTGTGGAATCAGAAATGATTCATATTTCATAATAATCTGTTTGACTTCAATCTCTGTGGAGTAAAAAACAATTGTATTCTAAATAAAAAATAAAAGGAGGAGATATTAATCGTTGTGTTGCTTTTCTCATACATAGGTAAATTGTTACTGCATTCTTAGAATTAATACTTTCGATTCTTGAAAGAATTTAAGAGTTGGCAATTTTCAAATATAGAAGGAGCTTGTATACAAGCATTAAACACAATAAATATAAAAGTGAAGAATCTACAAGAAAAATCACCTGAGTATTGAAGTGTCTCTTGTGGAGTGGGAAGTATTTACCATTCATTATATCTCTTGACTAAGAATACTCGAGTTCGAGTGTTGCATACTTGGGAAAAGTATTTTCAAGATTTCACATATTTGTAGTCTTATTTGAGATAATAAATCTTTATTGTTGGAGTATTTCTGTGATAGTAAACACGAGGTACCGAATCATGTGAATTCTCTGTCTATATCATTTCTTTTTTGGTGTGCTTTCTATGTGTTCCCGTCATGGATCATGTGTATACGTGCAAAGTTTTCTCAATAGTCTTACACGTAATAATGCACTAATCGGTTGAAGCTTAAAGTTTCATGGCATAGTGATGGTAGGACTAAAGATTTTAGTTTGGAGTTCTAATTCTTTCACACTTATTTTAGACCGACTTTATACTTTTTTTTTATGTCACTCCTCTCTTTCAAATTTCAATCACATCACATCATTGCTTTAAATCACAAGTCATTTATATGAATGAAAATGAAGCGAAACGGAGAA